AGTGATACATTTATCAGTTTATTTTTTTGTGTTTGTTTTGGATTGATGGGTGGTGGGGTGGGAGTGAGATAACCATGATTCAGAAGCATTTCTTCAAATTTGAAATCCATATCTATGTTTTCTGTTGATATTTAAGAAACTTTGAAAAGTTTGACCTTTTTATCCCATCTCTCTCATCCAAATTTACTCCTAACAAAAACATTTAATCAATCCCAATCAGTGTTTAATCAGCTCTAGAAATCAGTGGACATCCCTCGTATTTTGTGTCATTTTAAGTAAAATTTGCTTGGTGGGATAGAAATGGTTTGAAACATTTGCTGTTGATTTTTTTTTTTTTTTTGTTATTACAGACTGTATTGTGGAAATCCATATTGTACTGTCATCAGTTGATGGAAATTACCCATAAGAAAACTGAAGTACACTTAGTCATGTTTTGTTTATAGGATAGTACAATTGATTGCAGATATGGGTGGTTTCCAGTGTCAAGGTACCACAATGGAGAGGTGTTTAAAAGCCTCAAAATTACTTTTGGAAAACCAGCACTTTAAAAACAAAGAATGATCTTTGTCCTGGCCTCGCTAAGCACTGTGACTTTTAGCAGTAACTCAGCTATACAGGTAGCTAAACACTTTCCCATCCGTCCACCAAGAAGCACTCCATTTGGTTCTTTAGCAGGGTTTAATGAGAATCGTGTAAAACTGTAACACACAAAGGTACAGAAAATGAATGCCAGCTAGGCTAACGCGCCGAGCTAACACAAGTAAAAATATCTATCGTCACATAAAACATGTCAACGGGTTACAAATTATGATTTATATGACAAGCAAATTAGAACAGTACTTACAGACGATGCCGTTTCTGCACTTAGATTAAAGAAAACACAACAAAGAGGGCTTCTTTCGGAGTACATGGACCAATGGCTTACTTCCTTTCTGGTAAACAAGTCATAGTAATAAAAGTGACCACAAGATGGCGTCAGTAAGCCAGTAATAGACAAAATTATAACATTTGCCACTAGATAGCCTCAGTAGATTAACTTAACATTGAATGACATTAAATTAAACAGGTTTCACTACACTCCCCGCCTGGCGTCTGTAAGAGATGCCACTAAATCAAATGTCCACATTACTAGGTGTCAATAAAAGAATCAATTCTGAGATTGGTCGGCTGAATGACTTTACACCCTGATGTCTTGCAACTTTTACATCCACTTTTCTCACAAGCCCGTCCTTGCTGGGGTACGTCTTCTCGACAAGTCCCATGGGCCACTCGTTGCGCTTTGCAGTGGAGTCCTTCAGGAGGACAACATCTCCTTCCTTGAGGTTTGTTTTCTTTACGAGCCACTTTTGACGACCTTGAAGGGTGCAGAGATACTCTTTCTGCCATCTTGTCCAAAAGTTGTTGGCTAGTATTTGAACTCTCTTCCATTGGCTCTTGAAGACGTCCTTCTCTGTCAGGTTGTCTGGAACTGGAGGAGGAGCTCCTGTTTTCTGAGTAAGAAGCATAGCTGGTGTTAAGACCAGTGGAGCTTCAGGGTCTGTGGAAATCGGCACAAGGGGTCTGGCATTAACAATAGCTGTGACCTCTGCCATGAAGGTCACCAAGACTTCATGGGTGAGCTGAGGTTGCTTCACATCTAGGAGTAGAGCATCTAGAATGCGGCGAGAAACCCCAATCATTCTTTCCCAAGTCCCACCCATGTGGGACGCATGGGGTGGGTTGAATTCCCAGGTGCACCTCTGTTCTGTTAGATAGTCTTTGATTGTGTTATTAGCATCCTGTGGTGATAGTTTCAGCTCATTACAGGCGCCAATAAAGTTGGTCCCTCTGTCAGACCTGAGTTTTTTGGCAGGTCCGCGGAGTGAAAAGAATCTCCGGAGAGCATTGATGAAGCTTGAGGCAGTCATTGTTTCCACAATCTCAATGTGGATGGCCCTGGTAGACATGCATGTGAACAACACTGCCCACCTCTTGTTGTTTACTTGGCCTCCTCTTGTACGTTTTGTCACGATCTCCCACGGGCCAAAGACATCCAGGCCCACATATGAGAATGGTGGGTCCACTTTGAGCCTTTCTTCAGGTAGGTCAGACATGAGCTGTTGTTCTGACAGTCCACGTAGCTTTCTGCAAAACACACACTTGTGAATGATGGTGCTTATGAGCCGCTTACCTCCAACCAACCACAGTCCACTGGTGCGAACGGCTCCTTCTGTTAGATGTCTTCCCTGGTGTTTCACTCTCTTGTGATGATGACGCACTAGCAGAGTTGCAATGTGATGTTTGTTGGGTATTATGACCGGATTTGACTCATTTCTTTGTAACATAGAATGCTGCAAACGTCCTCCAACTCTCAGGAGCCCATCACGGTCGATGAATGGATTGAGTCTGAGAATAGGGCTGTTCTTTGGTAGTCTTTGGTTTTTCTTGACTGCAGAGATTTCCTGTGAGAAGCACTGTTGTTGCACTGTGTGAATGATCAGTCGCTCTGCTTTATCCATTTCTGAAGATGAAATGTTGTTGCAGTAATGCCAACCTCGACAGCTGTTACTGTTTTTGTTTGAGAAGCTTTGAGCAATGTGAATGAGTCTGGCAACCGCTTTCAGGAGAGATTTCCAGTTGGAAAAATGTTCAAAGCGACTTGAAAATAGTTTGT